CTTGCGCACAACACTAGTAGTAGCGGTTCCAGGGCGTGAATCTGGCTGCACTTCTGTGGGTCCTGGTCGCCGAGGCATGAACCCAGAGTACTTTGCAATGGGTCGTGGCCTCGGAGGCGCGTATCGCGTGTACTTTACGAGGGATCTGCGCCTCGGGAGCGCGAGCGTCGTATATTTTCGAGGGGTCCATGACTCGGGCACGTTTTGACGTCCCCATGTGATGCCACACCTGCAACGAACGTTCGAACATTCGCTTCCCGTTCTTGTCAGGTCAGGTTTGGGTGCACCGTCGTCCTCATCGCCGCCGCCTCCGCGCCACCCGCCGCGCTCCGGGCGAGGCCAGCGTCATGGCGCCGGGGCCGAGGCGCCGAGCAGGCGCCGAGGGCGCTTGCGCGAGCCTGGTGAGCCTCGTGGAGCCCGGGCAGCAGCTCCGGGCGGAAGCCGGAGCTCCGGCGTCGTCGTCGTCGTCGTCGGCGTCGTCGTCGGCGTAGTCGTCGTGGGCGTCGGCGGCGTCGTCGTCGTCGTCGTCGTCGGCGGCGGCGGCGGCGGCGGCGTCGGCGTCGTCGTCGCGTCGTCGGGCGCCGCCCGTCGAGTGCCTTTCGGTGGCAGCCGGGGGCCTGTCGGTGGCGCCGGCAAGAGGCGGCCTGCGTCGCCGACGGCCGGGGGGCCCGCGCTGGGCGGCGCGCAGATGGGGGGCAGCGACCCGCCGCCAGCGTTCAGCGCTGAACGCCGCTGGCGACCCAGAGTCGGCCGACGTTGAACGGGCTGGCGTTTCGGAAATGGCTGATCGTGTTCAAGGTTGAGCGATCCCCGCGGCGTCAGGAGCCAACGTTCCAGGGCAACGATAGGGGGGTAGGGGATAGGCATGGGGGGGGATGCATCGACCCCCACTGGCCCATTGATCGGCGATAGGGGCGCGATAGCCCCAACCCGCCCAGGAAGGTGCGGATTCGCTGTCGGGGGCCTATCGCCGATCTTTCGGCGATGTATCGCCGGTTCCAGGTCGATGCATCCCCCCCTATGCTTATCCCCCCTTATCGTTCCCCTTCAGCAGAGGGGGGTTAATTCCAGTGAAGACCCATGCCAAGAAACACCCTGCTAGCCTCCTGGGTGCCCTGGGTTTCTTGGGTTGCGACGGTTCTGCGGTGGGAGTAGTGACGTTCCCACACGAAGAATCGGTGGACGTCCTGGGGTCTCAGGGTTGGATTTCTTGTGGAAGGTTTCTTGTGCTCGGGCCACCACTGTAGGAGGAGAGGGTAAGGCTGCTTGGAAACACCCCTGGTTCTGGGAAGGCGCCGGCCTTACATCTTAGAAGGCACTGGGCGGCGCGCAGAGAGGGGCAGGGGTAGGGGAGGGGGGGAGGGGAGGGGGGGATGGGGAGGGAGGGGGAAGGGTAGGGGGGAACCGAATATGACAAAATGCCATAAACATAAACATCAAATGTTTGGCGCTCCGCACGGATTTCTTGGATCCGCGCGGGGCCCCCCTTGGCGGCGCCTCCGGCGCCGACCCCGGCGCGTTCCGCGCGCCGCGGGGGAGGTCCACTGCAGCCCAAGATTTTATGTTGATGGCATTTTGCTTTCTTTTGGAAGCACCCCTGCTCCTGAGAAGGCGCCAGTCTTACATCCACAGACAAGGGGTGTGCCTTCTAAGAAGCACAGGTGCTTCTATCACCGAGCGCCTTCCAGTACTCGCACAGTGCCTACCCGCAAACATCCTGAACACACATGTTTTTTCTCCATGTAAAGAGTAGTAAATCCCCCGCGGCGGATCCAGGCCATTCTCGAGTATATACTTTGCGAGTAGTGGAACGCGCTTGCCGACTCTAAGAGGCCTCCACCCCTCTCCCTGCCTCCCTTGGCACGCCGCCAAGCGGCGCGCGCGTCCCCCGCGGCACGCCCCGCGGGCACGCGGCGGCGCCCCCGCGGCGGCGGGCGGGCAGCGGGGGACACTTCCAGTCTGAGCGTTTTTTGCTGCGGTTCCGGCCTCCAGGGCAGGAGGAGGAGGAGGAGGAGGAGGAGGACTTCCCAGGCCCGCAGGCATGTCGATTGCAGGTAAGAGTGACCCTTCTCCGGAGTGACCTTTCCTGCGGGCTCATCGGGGTCCCTCGATCGTTGAGCGCGATGCGTTTGCGGCTGCTTGCGCGCTTGGCCTTGGCCACCCTGCGCCCTCTTTAGCTTGCGCGACAAGGGTCACCCTTGCCTATGGCCACTGTTGCGTGTAGCCGAGCATGCGGCGGCGGGCGGGCAGCGGGGGACAAGTGCCCAGATCTCCCAACTTTTTTTTTTCCAGGCTGGGCGTTTTCCCGCGGTTTCGGCCTCTGCAGGGCTAGTTTCCTGGCCCCAGGGAAGGGGTCGGGATCTCTGTGGCAGCGCATTGACCACATCATCTTGTCGGACGTCTGGATGCCTGAGGGTTGCGCACGGACATGTTCCCCATGTAAGTAGTCCCGGAGCTCGGAGGAGGAGAAAACACCGATCATCCCAGACGCCTTTTCCGATCGTCTGGGGGAAGGAATCATCCAGACCTCCGAGGGTCCACCTTGTGAACAGAATCACGTGGTTGGAGTTCTGCGTGCCCTGGCTTCGTTTTCGCTTTTTCAGGCGTGGGGGGTCCCTCCGCTTCCACGGCCAGATCTGCCTCGGAAGCCTGGTCAAACCACGACTTGAGAGCGCCGTGGGAGTGCGGCCCCAGACATGAGTCAACGACCACAGGCCGAAATTCGTCCGAATGGTAGCGAATTGGCACATCAGGCAGTCGCATACTCGTACGCGTTCCCTGGCGCGCGGAGCGCCCGTGCCGCCAGGGGAAGGCCGCAATCTTTCCATCGGCGATCCAAGACAGCCGCGCGGACCTTCCAAAGTTTATACACGATGCCTTTGGCGAGTCCTATTGCTGAGACAGTCCAGTGCTCTCGGAGGTGATGGGTCGAGGGGCGAGAGGGGGCTGTGCCATGTGAGTCGAGCAGCGTCACATATTCAGTGTGCTTTCACGGTTGGAGTAACGTCCAGAACGTTGTCACACGATTTGTTGCGGCCGTCTGGGGTTTAGTTTAGTATCTTTTAAGGTCGTCTTGGGGCGGAGCAGCAGGATGAAGGCAAGGATGATGAGGAGGGGGGAAGGAGGAGGCGGAGGACAGAAGCTGCAGGAGCAGTGTAGTGAAGGAGTGCGATGTGGAACATAATGATGGCGATGATGTTGATGAGGAGGAGGAGGAGGAGGAGGAGGAGGAGGAGGAGGTGGAAGAGGAGTGAGAGGAAGGTCGCCACTTTTGATATTTCGGTGTACAGTTTTCGATGAGCTCGCACGGTGCTCATCTGGGCCGTTTATCTGGGACTCCTGTGCGGCCGTCGTGGGGGTCCCTTGGGGCCTTTTTTGGCCGTCTTCGGTTCCTCTTGGGCCGTCACAGGGCTTTCTTGGGCCGTGTTGGGGTCCTCTTGTGCGTCTGGAAGGTCTAAAGACGATGTCTTGGGCCGTATTATGCCGTGAAGGTGCCCCCTGAAGACCTTTGGAGACCCTCGGTCTTGGCCTTCAATGGGCCCTCTGGAGCCGCCTTGCGGCCGCCTTGGAGGGTTGCTGGGCCATCTGAAAGGCCCCTTGGGCCGACGTGGGGCCATTCTGGAAGCCTGCAGGCCGTGTTGAGCTGAAGGAAGCCCGCAACGGAGAATATTCCAGAATCGACAGTCAAGAACAACATATGTGATGTGGACCTGTTCGGGGGGCCCTCGTGTGGCCATATTGGGGTGTCTCAATGCCATATTTGGGGCAATCTTGAATTGTCTTCGAGGCAGATTGAGCCATATCGGCAGCAGTGGTGGCCTGCCTGGGCCGTCTTGGGAAAACGTGCGCGCGGGCCCAATATCTTTGACAAGCAGTCGTTACTGGAGCGTGGATCAATAGTTTTGTACGAGGGAACTTGGCTTCGTGAGCGCAGGTCCTTTGTTTTCGGCTAGGCATTGTGGTCTTGGCAGCGTGCATCCTCAGTTCCTTGCTGGGCATCGTTGCCTCGGGAGCCCAGATATCAGTAGCTGTTGTACGGGTCGTGGCGTCGGGAGAGCGGACCCGTTTGGTCTGCATTATGGAAGGGAGGAGGCGGAGGAGGAGGAGGAGGAGGAGGAGGAGGAGCAGGAGCAGGAGCAGGAGGAGGAGGAGGGGGGTGCGGTGAAAACCGAACCGCGCTCTTGCCGATCCACGAATCAAGCAGCTCGTTGGGCGGCAGGGGCAGGGCTCGGATGTCGCAGCCCCCCTTGAGTGAAGCCCTGTGGAGGGTGTGTCGTCCCTTCCTCGGACAACGTATTGTCGGGGGTGGACAGACCTCCTACCCTGACACGTCGATTAGTGAATTGTCCGTTTTCGGTTCTCGAGAGGGCGACGCGGCCGTCATTTTCCAGGCTTGCGCCCGCCAGGTTTGGGCCCGAGGTCGTTTTCACTAAGCCACGTTTTACTAAAGGAAGGTCTGCCCATCCCCGATACTGAAGCCCGACCAGGCCCTACCAGACAACACTTTGCGTTGTACCACGCCTCAACGTGCCAGGGGTCTCCTGTGGCGGACGTTGTACAAAGCTGCTTCCTTCCAGTGGCAGGGCTCGAGCTAAGCAGTGTGCTGGCGATTCTGTGGGTTCGTTTCGGTGCGCTTGTCGTCTCGGCAGGGGCAGAGCGAGGACAGAACGACGGAACATGGAAGCAAGACGAAAACGAAACTTTTGGGTTCAGCTCCAGCAGGAGGAGGAGCAGGAGGAGGAGGAGGAGAAGGAGGATGAGGAGGAGGAGTTGGAGGAGGAGGAGAAGGAGGAGAAGGGAGCAGGAGTAGGAGGAGGAGGAGGAAGAGGAGGAGGGAGGGAGGAGGAGGAGGAGGAGGAGGAGGAGGAGGAGGAGGAGAGGGAGGAGGAGGAGGAGGGAGGAGGATGGAAGAGGAGGAGGAGGAGGAGGGAGGAGGAGGGAGGAGGAGGAGGGAGCCCTGCCCAGGGCCCTCGTCGGAGCAACTCCTGTGCTCCCCCGAGGAGCCTCGTGGGGCCGCGAGGCGTGGCCCGGGAAGCCGCTGCCGGACCCGAGGCCGCCGCGCGCTGCCCTCGCCGCAGCCGTCGGACTCGTGGCCGCCCTTTGCCGCCGCCGCCGCTGCCGCTGGCGACGTCGTCGTCGGGGGAGTCAATCGACTAGACGTAAGAGCGACCTTTCGCCGGAGTGACCTTTGGTGCGGGCACAGATGGGCCCTTGGATGGCCGAAAGAAGCGGTAGCAGCGGCTCGCGCGCCCAGGTTTGATCCCCCCGCGGCCCCCAAAAAGTCGCGCACCAAAGGTCACTCTTACCCAGGGTCACTCTTGCGTGTAGCCGAAAAAGGGGGTCCAGCGACAAAGGGGTGGTGCAATAGATTTGGTGTTGTAGATCCGCGGGGTTGGGGCGCGCAAAGCGTTCCAGTGCGCAAATGTATCGCTGGAGTTTCGCGTGCAATACCTTACTTGCGATACGATGCAATACAATTCTTCGGCGCAATACATTTGCAACACAATTGCCCCAAACCTATTGCACCACCCCCTTTCAGCTGGACCCCCTTTTTGCTCTCGTCGGGGGAGTCCAGGGGCAACGTCAGAGTGGAAGCTCAGGGAAGGATGGGCTCAGGTGGTCGTCGAAGGGTCTCGGGAGTTCTCCGGATGGTTTCGAGACCTCCTGGTCTTGCGTTTTGTCGAGGGAGTTCCAGGGGTACCGAAGATCGTCCCGAACGGCCGCCGGAGACGCGATTCATGAACCGAGAACCAGACGACGGGGACCACTGGGGGGGGACTGGCTCAGGGAGGAAGGCATCGACGCCTAGTCGGCCACTCATTGGGAAGAGGGGCCAGATAGCACACACACACGAGCCTCTGGCCTCGCCATCGCGAAGGCATGTCGCCGATCTATCGGGGATGCATCGCCAGGTGCCCTCCCGACACCGCCCGTCTCCCTGCCTTCCCCCTTCGGGAGGAGGGGGGGCCGAGACCCCCGCGGGCCGTCGCAGGAGGAGTGCGGCGGGAGGTGTCTGGGCGGGCACGCGGCCTCCAGAGGGCCCAACTGCCGTCCCAACTGCCGTCCCAACTGCCGTCCCTGCAGAAGCCACCTCGGAGGAGAGCTGGCCCCGAGGAGAGCCGGCTGCGCGCAGAGAGGGGGGGGGGGACAGTCTGGGCCCTGGAGAAGGAACCCTTTTCGTTGGGGAGGGGCTCGGTGTTCCTTGATGGTTCTGCAATTTGTCTCCCGTTTTCCTGAGGTTTTCCATGGGACATCGAAGTTCAACTTGAGGGAGAATGGGGCCTCGTTCCTTATTTAGAGTTCCTTAGGTCAACGCCCCGACGGTACAGTCGGACCGAGGTATGAGAGCGAGGTCGGTTCGGTGAGGGCACCCTGCTGCTCTTCGTGGCTGTGGGGTGTTTGTGTGCACCTCCCCCCCCGAAATCGCTCGGACGTGTGCATTTTTCCTCCGGCGAGGACCATCGAGGAGCATCCTTGATCATTTCGCGAAAAAACCACGCACGATACCGAAAAAATACAGGAAATGGACGTCCGAGCGATAGCCAGCCCCTGGGGGAGGGCCCCCTCGAATGTTCTTCAGTTTGGGCGGCTGGAGGGTCTCGAGTTCTTGAGGGATGTTCTACCGTCCTGGGTCCGGCTGTAGGGTGAGGAGGGAAGGCTTCTTAGAAGCACCCTGCTTCGCAGAAGGCGCGGGGCTTTTCTGTAGATGCAAGGCCCGCGCCTTCCAAGAGGCAGCCTCCTTCTAAGGAGCCTGCCCCCCTCCCCCATCTGCCCCCTTGTCGGAAGCTGGAGCATGCACATTACCACCAGCGGGGCTTTTTGTCTCAGTCCCAGGACGTTTGAGGGGCGGGGACGACGTCGGGGTGGTGTGGTTTATATGTTTGCCCCCCGATTCCCTGGAGAAGCAGCAGAACATGTATACTCCAAAGTCCCGTATACACCAGGATCCGTTTTCTTGTGCGAATCTCAATGCGGGCGGGGCCGGAAAAAAGCGTCGGTGTATAGAGTGCGGTTCTCTGTCTTGTGCATGATTTTGTGCATGCCGCCAAGAATCTCAAGGGAGGCAACACCACTCAGATCCGATACTTGGCGTTTACAAGACGGCCCTGGGCTTTTACTTAACAGCCCTGCCCTGTTCGATTCCCTCTCTGGGTGCGTTCGCTGAACGGCCCTTGGCGTTTACTAGACGGCTTCGCGTGTCGGGGTGACTGTTATGAGGGTGGACCTTCGGCTCTCTGGAATAGCCTTGAGTCGGGCCTGTCCCTCTACAGGAGGACTATTCAAAAATAGTCAAAAATAGTCGAGGGACTATTGTTTCAGCATTTTGTTTGACCATTTGGGAGTTTTTCCTAGAGTATTCTAAATTTTTCGCCGAACATCCCTCTGTGGGGGGGACACGCCTCAGAACAGGAACAAACACATAAACACAAAGGGTTTTATTGGTTTTACGCCGGAAGGGGGCGTCGTTGAGAGGGTACCTGGCACGGATGCGGGGATCGGTGTGGCGTCGGTCTTTGGAGCTGGCGGTTTGCGTGGCAAGTGCGTTTAGCTGGTCGCATGTGTTCGGAACGCGTGACGGGTGGAAAGACCGCTCACCAGCAACTGGCAGTCCTCTGCCCGCGGGTCAGAATACATCGTCGCGCGTTCGCAACGGGGTGTGGGAAAGGGGGTTGGGAAGAGAGCTCGAGTCTCATTCCCAAAAAGTCCATTCGATAGGCAGCAAACAGTCCTTTTTCTATTCATCTGCCGCACGGCCAACCGAACGAACGAACAACTGTCTCGGCGCGCTGTGTTAACTTCGCTTGCGCGCATCCTGGCTTCTTTCCGTTGCTTCTTTCGCTTCTTTCTCGCCCTTCTCTTTTTTTCATTTTCCCCTGCTTTGCATTGTCCCGCCCTCCCTTCCTTTCCAGCTCGGAGCTGTCGCCGCGCGCGAAGAGCGCAACCCAAAGGGCGTTGCTGGAATTCTTTTGTGTACCACGAAGTCTCGCGTCATTCCTTTGTGTACGGTCTGGTTAAACTGCCAACGCGGGGGGCGCACACATGAATTTCCTTTGTGTACGACCGTTTTCGCCGCCCCCACAAGAGCACGCGCGATTCCTTTGTGTAGACCTTGCTTTCCCGCCTCGAGGAACGAACGGGGCCTGGCGCTACAATCGCAAGGCCGCGGCGCCTGGCAATGCGATGTAGTTGCGCCGGATACCACGCCCAAAACGATCCTGCGTGGATGTCGGCTCTTTTGCCGAAATCGCGCTGGCAGCTGGCCAGCCACATCGCCGGCCCTGCATGCCCTCGCGCGCTACTGCGTTTTGTTGCCGCCACGCGTGCTGCTGTCAACGGATGAACAAGCTGACGTTGCACGGTGGTTTGGCTGTGCCCAACCACCATGGAATGTCAGTTGGTAGCGGATTTGGGGATCTTGTCGCCGCCGGCAGCCTTGCCGCACCATGCGTGTCAACTGCATCCTAGAGCGCGGCCGTGCATAAACCCTGGTTCGGATCGCTGGGGATCCAGTCGCATGTGTGCACATACGTTGCACCGTTGGTGGTGCCAAAACCCTTTGTGTGAAATTCCTTTGTGTGTTTTTTCCGGCTCCTAACGCCCAACTTACGGGCAGCGAGGGCTGCCGAGAGAAGTGCCATTTCAGGCCCCTCGAGGGCCCCTCGAGGGCCCAAGGGGAGGGCTTAAGGGCCCGAGTATTTTTTTTGTTTTTTTCGCCGAGCGTCCCTCCGTAGAGGGGGGGCACGCCCGACTTACCGGCAGCCAGGGCTGCTGAGAGAAGTGCCATTTCAGGGGCTCTCGAGGGGCCAAGGGGAGGGCGTCAGGGCCCGAGTATTCCGAGTATTTGTTCGACTATTTTTAGAATTCTTGTTCGCCGAACGTCCCTCCGTGGGGGGACACGCCCGACTTACGAAACGCTCTGGACCTCGAGCGCCGCCGCCGTCGGCGGCGTGCCCGCCCAGGGCAGGGGCGCGGGCGCGCCCGCGCGGGGGCGGCGCCCCTCGTCCTCTTGGGGAACGGCGGGGCAGGCCGCCGGGGAGCCCCGTGGCGGGGGGTGGGCGCCGCGCCCTCGGCCTGCACGCGGGCGAACTCTTCGCACCCTCCCCGCACTTCCAGGTAGCCTCCTCCTCCTCCTCCTCCTCCTCCCCTCCTCCTCCCCTCCAGACCCGGAGAAGACCTCCTCCTCCGCCGCCCCTCTCCTTAGCTCCTCTCCCTCCTCCTCCTCCGCCTCCTCCTCCCCTCCCCTCCTCCCCTCCTCCTCCTGGCGTCCTCCTCCTCACCCGCCTCCTCCTCCTCCTCCTCCTCCTCCTCCTCCTCCTCCTCCTGAGCTCCTCGGGAGGGGCGTCCGACGTGTTCGTCCTTCCTTTTGGGTTGCCGGTTCCTGGGGGGCCCACTCTCTTGGGGCCGCCCTGGAGATGCTGACACCTTCCACTTGGACCTCCAGGGGACCTCCGGCCCGGATTTCGTGGTGGCGGCGAGCTCCCCGCAGAACTCGGACTTAGAACTCGAACTCGGCCCCAAGCAGGGGGGGGGGGGGGGGGGCGTGTCTCCGGCACGGGTCGCGCCGCCGTCGGGGGCGGCACAGAGGGGGGTGATGACTACTTTATTGGTGAGTTGAATTGGTTGTAGGGTTTTAACAAATGGCCGCAGCCACGCAGAGGGCGTGCGTAGCGACGCCCCAACTGCTCGGTCTCCAGCACTTCTACGTGGCGGCGCCCACGCAGGGATGCAGAGGGCACGCGTGGCGACGGGGGCGTCGCCACGCAGAGCTTCTAAAGACCAAACATTTTGAAAACCAATTGTTTCCACTACTAAAGTAGGGGTGGGGGTGGATATCATGGCGGGGGTCATGGTATCTCCCCAGATTTTTATTGCGCCTCTTCTTATTTCATTACGTCCCTGGCCCCCCGCTGGGCCGCGCACCTGCCGCCGGTCATGATTTGCACCCCCGCCCTCTTGGACACCCCCCTCTTGGCCGCTCCCGACGTCGCATCTCCTGGGGGCGTGGGTGGCGGGAGGAGGGTCACCGACCAGTGAATGGTGCGCAAGGCCTGCACAATCACCACGTCTGTTTCCCGGGTGCGAGGCCTGGGGGGGTCCCGTGAGCACCTCGTCTGCCGCGCGCGCGCGCGCCCTTTGCCGCCTGCTCATGAGGCGGCCACCCGGGTCGACATGCTTGAGCCGGGGAGGGGTTTCGGGGACGTGTGTGGAGTCCGCTCATATCCCCACTGTATCGTCAGATACCGCTACTGTGTCGGCTCGGGTTGTTGGCGTTCACAGACACAGAGCGCTGCCCTCTGCGCAGCGCCCGGGAAGAGGAGTAGCTGACTAGGGGTGGTGGGTGTGGTGGGTGTGGTGGGTAGTGGGGAGACGAGGAGTGGTGGTGGTGACGATGTGGGTGCTGGTGATGACGAGGGATCGCAATCGTGACGATGGTGGCGATGACGACGATGACGGCGATGATGGTGACTATGACGATGACGGTTGTGATGACGATGACGATGACGAAATGATGACGGTGATGATAATGATGATGGCGTTGATAATGAGGATGATGATCAGAATGATGGTTGTGGTGATGATCATGGTGGTGTTGATGATCATGCTTGTGGTGATGATGAGGATGTTGATGTTGATGACAATGAGCAGAAGAGGTTCATGATAGCTGTGATGATGCGGATGCTGATGATGAGGATGATGCGGGTGTCGATGGTGTTGATGATGATGACGATAATGATGATGGCGATGGTGATAGTGATCGTGATGATGATGGTGATTATGATGAAGACTATGAGTATGGTGATGTTGATGGTGCTGATGGATGCGACGGCATGGCCATGATTTGATGGTGTTGATGATGGCTGTGCTGATGGAGGTACTGGCGATAATGATGAGCATGATTATGACCGGGATGAGAATGAGGATGAGTTTGATGATCATGGTGATGAGGATGATGAAAGTGGTGTTGGTGGTGGCGGTGATGGCGATTGATGGCGATGGTGATCGTGGGGATGATGTTGTTGCTGCTGCTGGTGATTATGAGGACGCTGATGATGACGATGATGATGCCGCTGATGACGGCGATGCGACATATTTGTGATGATGATGCGTTTTCTTAGGTTGCGGATCCTGATGACACTCAGGAGGAGTTGGATGAGGATTGAGGGGGAATGTGGCGGATGATAGTTGCAAGGACGAACAGGAGGAAGATAATGACAAACACATGTATCTGTACGAAACTTAGGACGGCGACCCCGAGGAGGTGGTGGGGAGGAAGCTGTGAACACTGATGAGGGAATTGAGGCTCTTGAGGAGCATGAACGTGAGGAGCTGGAGGAGCCATGGCGCAAGCAATGAAGTGAGCAGGAGGACGAGCAGGAGAACTAGAGAACGCGCAGGACGCAGGTGGGGAGGAGCCAGGGGGGAGAGGATGAGGAGGAGAAGGACCGTGCGGAGATGCGGATAGAAGGAGGCATGGAGGAGGAGGGGGAGCACGACGTCGGGGGGCGACCAAGACGAGGAGCGGCGGGGAGGGCACGCGGAAGGCGCTGTCAGTCTGGAGGCCGCCGGTGAACACCGGGCTGACGCTCGGATGCGTCCGTCCCCTTCCTCCTCCTCCTCCTCCTCCTCCTCCTCCCCCTCCTCCTCCTCCTCCTCCTCCTCCTCCTCCTCCTCCTGACCCGCCTCCGCCTCCTCCTCCTTCGCCGCGTTTGGCTCTTTCCCTCGTGCGCGTCAGGGATGTGGACGGGGAGAGGTCGGAGCCAACTGTGGGGCTGAGGTGGCCCAAATATTGGCTCTGGCCGCCAGGCAGGGGGGAGAAAGCTCGGAGGCGGCCAGGAGGGGGGTGATGACTAGGGGGGGTAGAGATCGTGGCGGGGGCCATGGTATCTCCCCAGATTGTATGGCGCCTCTTCATAATCCATTGCGTCCCTGGCGCCCCCCCCCCTCCCTGGGCCACGCACGTGCCGCTGGCCATGAGTTGGTTCCCCCCCTCATGAACGCCTCCCTCTTGGCCGACCCCGAGACGGAGTCCTTTCGTCGCCACGGGTGGGCGCGGGCTGGGCGCGTGTCGAAAACCTGACAGAGTTGGAGGGAGTTTGAATTCGCTCTCCCATCCTGGCCGATCTCCTCTTGGCCAATGCTTGTCATACTACTACTTGCTACGCAGGGAAAGTGGCAGGATTGAGATGGTAGGTGCTGGTCTGAGCACGCGTCACATGCAGTATTCCTTTCCTTCTCTGCTTTGTTTCTCTCCCGATGCACAGGTTTATCCTTGCAGAGCGCACAATCACGTGCGTGAATGGAGGTAGCATTGTTTACCCAGCACCTCCTCGCCGTCGACATCAGATTAGGCGACGACGCCACGAGCCGTGAGTTTGAGGGCCTGGTCGGTGGCTCCCTACTCGCCCATGGATGCCGACTGACGCGCCATTCGCGCCAGGGCTCGGGAGAGTTCTGGCTCGGAACGCGACCGCTCTCAGAGAGACGAGCATGTTCCAGCTCAGACACCCCCAGGCCGCCTCCGAGGGAAGGGGACACCCGAGGCAGGAGGAGGACGAGGAGGAGGAAGACGAGGAGGAGCAGGAGGAGGACATGGAGGAGGAGGGGGCGGAGGAGGATATGGAGGAGGAGGAGGAGGAGAAGGAGGGGGAGGAGGAGGAGGAGGAGGAGGAGGGAGGAGGAGGAGGAGGGTCGAGGAGAAGGATGAGGGAGGAGGAGGAGGAGGGAGATGGAGGAGGAGGAGGAGTTGGAGGAGGAGGAGGAGGAGGAGGAGGAGGAGGACGGAGGAGGGAGAGGAGGAGGAGGAGGCAGGTGGCAAGGAAGAGGAGGAAGGGGAGGAGGAGGAGGGGGAGGAGGAGGAGGAGGAGGAGGAGGAGGAGGAGGAGGTGAGGAGGGAGGAGGAGGCAGGGGGAGGAAGGGGGAGGAGGAGGAGGAGAGGAGTGAGGAGGAATTGAGGAGGAGGTAGAAGAAGGAGGAGGAGGAGGAGGAGGGGGAGGAGGGGGAGGAGGAGGAGGAGGAGGGAGGAGGAGGAGGAGGAGGAGGAGGAGGTGATGGAGGGAGGAGGAGGTGTGGGGAGGAGGGGGGAGGAGGAGGAGGAGGAGGAGGTGGAGGAGGGAGGAGGTGGAGGAGGTGGAGGAGGAGGTGGAGGAGGAGGAGGAGTGGAGGAGGGAGGAGGAGTGAGGAGGAGGTGGAGGGGGAGGGGAGGGGGAGGAGGAGGGGGAGGACGGCGGAAGCACAGATCTCGGGAGGTCTGCGCGGATCCCCCGGGGGCGGCGCCCGGGGACCCTCCCGGCGGGGCCTCGGGCCCCCCGCCTGGCGCGCCCCGCGCCCCAGCCACGGGGGGGGGCCTCGGCGCCGATCCGAGAAGTGCCCGCGGCCTACTTGCTGCGGGCAATCTTTATATCCATGTCCAGTGCGTCTTGGACTTTCTGGGAAGGGGCGCCGCAAGGCCGAGGCGCACTGGATATGAATAAACATTGAGCCTCTTGGAGGCAGATAATCATCCATATCCAGTGCGCCTCGTGTTTCTTGGGAAGAGAGTCCGAAACTCCAAGACGCACTGGATGTGGATATAGACATTGCCCGCACCTTGGGAGGTCCTCTGCTTGTGCAGTTGTTGGGAGGACGCGCAGTGGGGGGGCAAAAGGGGGGGGGGCAGCGTGAAGTGTGGCCTGTCCCTCTACAGGGGGAACCGCCAATTCAAAAGTAGTCAAACAATAGTCTGGTGACTATTGTTTGAATATTTGTTGTCCATGTTGGAGCATTTCTTGTATATTTTCATGTTTCGTCGAAAATCCCCCTGTAGGGGGACACGCCCGACTGAAGGGCAGCGGGGGCTGCCGAAAACAGTACCCTTTTCAGGCCCCTCGGGGGGCCCTCGAGGGCCTAAGGGGAGGGCTTCGGGGCCCGAGCTGATCGCCCCCCCGTTCATTCGCGCCCAAGCTCCGCGCACCAGACAGGAGGGTTCAGCGCCGATCCAAGAGATCCCCGCCGCGGTCCTCCGGACATTCTGTTTACATCGTTTCCGCGCATCCCGTCGCCCTCCTCGTTGTCGTCGCCCCTCTGTGCTCCTGCCCTGCAGCTCGCCCCGACCGAGGCTCGAGCTGAAGAGGTTGTACCGGACAACCCCGCTGAACAAGTATTACGTACCCATTGGGGCGGCCAACAGGGGGCACCGACCCCGAGCACTTCCTCGGCCTCGCCCGAGGCTTGCAGACGCTGGAACACGTCTCCAAGCGAAAGAAAGGACATCCAGAATGGGACCCCGCCCTCCTGAGGCTCGCGAGTGTTCAGCTGTCCCTCTCTCCTTCTCGTCAGGCCTCCCAGATGGGGTCGGAGCAGATGAGGTCGGAGGACCGCGCCGCATCGCCGATGCATCGGCGATGCGGCTCAATGTCGGGCCCGATGTTCTCAACGCAGACGTCGCCGATGCATCGCCAACGCCGCCGATGCATCGCCGTCGCATCGGCGATGCATCGGCGATCCTCCAACCCCACCTTCTCGAGCTTCGTCTTATGTGAGGCCTCTACTCTACCACCTCAGGCTGTAGAGGGCCCCTCTGTTTGGCCGCCCCCGCCGTCAGCAAGCTTCCCGCGCTGAGCCAGACCGACCCGCGCACCGCGCTCGCCTTGCATGCGCCCGCGTGCTACCCGAGGCCGCAGAGCTCCCGCGTGCAGCGGCTGATGGCGACGGGCGGCCCCCGGCACACCCGGCGCGGTTCGGCGGGTCCGCGAGCCCAGTCTATAGGCTTCCCAGATGGGGTCCCCCTCCTCCTTCTCCTCCTCCCCCTCCTCCTCCTCCCTCCTCCACTCCTACCCCTCCCTCCTCTTCCCTCCTCCTCCTTCCCTCATCCTCCTCCTCCTCCCCCTCCTCCTCCTCCTCACATCTACCTTCTTCCTCTCCTTCCTTCCTCCTTCTCCTCCTCCTCCTCCTCCTCCTCCTCCTCCTCCTCCTCCGCCTCCCCCTCCTCCAGATGGGGTCGGAGGATCGCGCCGCATCCCCGATGCATCGGCGATGTCGCTCGCTGCGGAACCCAGGTTTCTCCATGCCGACGGCGCTGGTGTGGTTTACGCGGTGGTGTGGTTTTCGGTCTGCATCGGTCGGGGCCTCGGGGGCCCCATGTTGCCCCGGTCGGGCCGTCTCGGGGCGCGGCGGGTAACTCTGTCGAGGTTCTCGTCCGCCAGCGTGGACCCCAAACAGGTGTGCTCTAACACACCATGTGGTGGAGCTTTGTTGTGCACTCCACGCTAAGCACTCCATGTGGTGCAATGTATGTTCTGTCACTTGGGTGGTGCGATCTATGTTGTGCAATATGTGTGGTGTGAGCTATGTGGTACAATCCATGTGGCGTGAGCTACATGCTGCAATATATGTGGTGCTAGTTCTGTGGTTCCTTCTCTGTGTGCTATCTATCTATACATATGTGTGTATATATATATATACTAGAACCATCGCGCGTGCTTCGCGCGCGCTCAGGTTCTAGCCCAGGCCGGGGGCGCGCTAGAAGATCTTGGACAGCGCTATCAAGCACAGGCGCGTGACATAGTCGTGCCTCCTGAGGGCCTCTTGTGAACCTCTTGGGTCTTCGTGGGGGCATCTGAAGGGCTTCTGGGGGGTTCTCCGTGCTTCCTCAATTGGCTGTTGGAGCCCGGCGGCCCCGGCGGCGTCCCAGGAACGGTCTCATGTTTTTGGACGGGAGGCCGCATGTAGACGTACATGAAGGTTTCTGGGGAAGCCTCTCAGAAGCCCGTTGGCCCCTCTTAGGGGTCTCCTGGGTGTTTTCTGGGAACCTCGGGGGGGGGCTCTTGGAAGCCTCTTGGGGGGCCTCTGGAGGCCCTTCGGGGCCTGCCGCGGGCGTCTTGGGGGCCTCTTGGGGCCTCTTGGGGGTCTCTTAGGGGCCTCTTGGGGGCCTCCAAGGGCGGGGGGGCTGGAAGGTTCAGTTGGGTTTCCCGTCTTGGGCCCTCTTGGGGCCCTTCGGGGACGCGTTTGGGCCGTCCTGGGGCCGTCCGGGGGGATCTCTTCGAGGGGTCTTCGAGCGTGTTGGAGGCGTCTGGGGCGGTTCGAGACGCCTCTTGAGCCGCCGGAGACCGCTGGAGGTTGTCTTCAGGGTGGCTTTGGGCGGCCTGGGGCCGCCTGGACGGCCGTCTGGGCGCTCCGGGGGCCGACCTGGGGCCGCCGGGGAGCGGGCTGGGCCCGACGTCCCCCCCATTTGCGGTCGAGGCTGCGGCCCCGGGGCCCCCGGGCCCGGTGCGGCGTTATATGTGTATGCTGTAACCTAGTGACGAAGCGTTCCTTAAGAATATCTGTGGTGCACTCTACGCGGTGGCTCGCACAATTAAAGTCGAAGCCAACATGCGGCGTCGACGGGCGGCGATGGACGGCCACGAGCCGGCCAGATTGGCGCACAGTGCCAGTTGCGAGCCTCGCGCAATCAAACTCGTGACCAACATCGGCGGCGACGGGCAGCGACTGGCGGCCACAGTTGGCGGCGCGCACAGGGGGGTAGGGGGAGGGGGGGAAGGCTTCTTAGAAGCACCCCTGCTTCTTAGAAGGCGCGGGCCGTGTCTACAAGTGGAAGGCCTTCGCCTTCTAAGAAGCAGCCTCCTTCTAAGAAGCCCTCCCCCCTCCCCCTACCCCCCTCTGCGCGCCGCCAACACAGGCCGGCAGGACCGACGCAGAGTCCCAGTTCCTTATGAAAGGTTCTGGCGTTTTTTTCGATGGAGGCAGACTTCCTTCGATTCTGGGGGGGAGGGGCAGGTGGCGTTGTGAGGCCCGAAAGGCCATCTGGATTTCACGCACTTCGGGGCTCTCTTGCGCTGTTGGGATTGGCGGTGGGGGTGGGGGGGCATACCATGCAAGTACACTTGCCTCAGTGTGGGGACAAAGAACCTCCTGCCCAGATCTCCGACTGCTTTGGTTTTCCAATCATTGCGGTTCCCCCTCGATCTCGGCCTCCAGGGCCCGCTATCGGGCCCTGGAACCATCGAAACCTAGCCCATGCCGAAAAACTACACCCAAGGAAGCGGTCGCCCGCTGCGGCCCGAAGATCCAGAGTAGGAGGAGGAGGAGGAGGAGGAGGAGGCACCGATACCGCCACCGTTGCCTCGTTTTCGCCACTGGGCCTCCTCGGAGGCCCTCGTCGCCACCGCCGGGTTCGCCTCGAAGTCCTGGTCAGACCGCGCTCTTGGCAGAGGTCTGGGGAGTGGCGGTATCGGTGCTTCTCGGTTTCCCCGGAGCTAGCCGCGCTTGGCGCGTCGCGGCCCCGGCCAACCCAGTGTGGTTCGGCAGGTCCGCTATCAAGACATGCCTGCGTCGTGCACACAAACACGACGGGAGGCTTGTTGCCGTGTTCGGCTTCGGGGGTCATCGCCGAGCTCCAGCACCGTCAAACAACGATCTGGGATAAGACTGGCCTTGGGGAAACGGTCGGGACTTCCAGGACCATCTGAACATCAACATCAAGACATCGCATGTCTGCGCCAGATCTCCCGCGGGGGCGTAAGGATCGCCGCGCTTTGTGCGTCGCGGCTTGGATCGCTGAGCTGTCCTTCTGCAGGAAAGGCGACGTTAGGGGGCTTGGGTCTGATCCGCATGTGCGCGCTTGATCCAGACAAAGCCTTGGGAGGCCATCGGAGGGCCTCTGCAGGGGCCTCTAGAGACCTCCAGGGACATCCGCAAGAGGCATCCACACACCACAGCAGTGCTGTGCCAGGGCCGTCCCAGGGCCTAAGGGGGCCCCAGGCTGTTGTCCTGGCATCGCTCGGACGTGTGCTTTTTTCTTCGGCGAGGACCATCGAAGAGCATCCTTGATCATTTGGCGAAAAATCAACGCACGAAACCGACAAAAACACAGGGAATGGACGTCCGAGCGATGGCCAGTTGTATAGACCCCTCGGCCAGAAGGGCGTGCAGCAGGTTCGTGTCGTGTCGACGCGGCGATGACCTCAGCGCGGGTGGCGAAGGTGGAAGGCTGCTGGTGGCCGGGGATATGCCGATGTCAGACGGTCTGCGCTATCGGAAATCCACGGCCGTTCAGGGCTGAACGATTCACGCGGTCCACGCAAACAGGATCCAGCGTGGCGAGCAGCACCCTTTCATCTTTGCATCTCCGGGCCATTCTTATATAGAATATGGCCAATATCATTGGCCTTGTCGCGCTCAAACGGCTTCAACTTGGGTTTCAAGGTCCTTGCATCCTCTCCGCGCATCCCTATAATTCTGTCGCGCTGTGTCAGAAACCAGCGCCGAGGTCGTCACGACACGAACCTGTCGATGCACCGGGCCAGGGCCCAGCAAACACCTGGCCAGGCGTGCTGGTGCTGTATGGATGTCTTCTCCGAGATCAGTTGGCATCACTGTGGGAAATCACGACAGGAGCCCTGGGCCTCATTTGAGGCTTTTTCTTCAGATTATCGCAGATGTCCTTGCATGGAGGGGGTGGATGGGCGTGGCGAGTCCCGCACGAAAATCTGGATTTCACCCAAGTCACGTCTTCTCGGCCCAGCTATGTTGCAACAGGCGGCGGAGATGGTTTGTGTTTTTTTGTTGGGGGGGGCGGCAAGGTGCCATGCAAGTAGACTGGCTTAAGTCTAAAGGTAACCAGCCACCGCGCCAACTACACGTGGCAGGCGATGAAGATATACCCCCCAAAGGGGGCACGATCGAATATGACGAGGGCATGGTACCGAGGGTTTGGATGTATACATTTTGGGTGACACGCAGGCAACGAGCAAAAATGTGTAAACTGATTGAACTCTCATGCCTGAAAGGTAAGTATGATCGATCCTCCCCGCCAGGTGCCGATTGTATTTTTCTATTCAAGTCGCCCCGCTGGGGCTCGCGCCCCGTTCCTGGCAACATACCGAGGAATCGTGCTCTATCTCTCTCTCTCTCTCTTTATCTCTTTATTTGTTGTTCTCTCTCTCTCTCTCTCTGGACCTCCTCTAGTTTATTCAGGCGCCGCGCTCTTCCCTCCACGGAATCGTTATCTCGCCTGATGTTGTGTTTGCAATTGACGGAGTTGGTTTTAGGCCCCTTTCCCGACCCGCTTGTTAGGACCCGCGCGCCCGACAGCTTGTGAGGGTCCGCTCGCCAGTCTGCCTGCTCCTCTTTTCTCCCCCTACTGCTGCATCTTTTTCGTCTTCACTGCTCCTCCCTGCATCTTGCCCCCCTCCCTTGTCGTCTCCTCCTCCCTTTTTCGCTCTCTCCTTTTTGTTACTGCGCCCTTCTCTTACAATTCCAGGCCTCGCCAACTACACGTGGCATGCGAGGGAGTTCGACCCCCCCCCAAAAAAAATGGCAACGGATCGAAGACGAAGAGGGCGAGTATCGAGGTTTAGGGGGTAGATGCGTTGAGTGACGCGAGAAACGAGGATCGAATAGTCTTCTAATGATGATTCTTCAAGCTTACGCCACATCCGCCGACCCCTTGTTTTTTTTTCTGGGGCGATGCGCGCACGGGGGCGAAAAAGTTTGAATGCTCCGCGTGCCCACCGAACGGGGACGGGAAGAAACCAGCGTTTTCAGACGGGGGCCATTTGTCGAAAGACCAGAAGAAGAATTATTTCAAGCGAAACAACCCAGTTGTGTGCGCGAAGTGTTTTAAAGCGGGACGAGCGCCGCGGAGAGACCCTCCGAAACGCCCGGCGGAACCAAGTGACGAGCATTGCGACAAGGCACGGAAGTT